ACAGTTTGTAGAGGTTGCAGTGCATAATTGCACAATCAGCTGAGTCCAAGGCAGGGCCACTTGGCAGAGGGGCATACAAGAGAAGAAACAGCTCATGGTGGCAGAAGACAGCAAAAGCAACAAGGGAGGGTGAGACAAGTCTCTTTTTGTCCCTTATACTGTAGCAGACTACCTGCCTTAGGGCAGGTGTAGTACTCACGTCCTTAATCCCAGCATTAGATCATGAATCAATCACAAACTCTAGATTCAGCTACCTCTGAAAAGCCCACCCCCCATAATTGCATGAGGCTTTGGAGGGACATCTAGACAAAAACCATAGTGGCCAGTATCTACTGAGAATTTTTGCATCTATGTTCATTACAGAGATTGGTCTGTAGTTTTGTTTGGTTTTTTGGTTGGGTATTTCTCTGGTTTTGGTATCAGGGTAATACTTGCTTCTAGCAATGACTTTGGGACTATTGCTTCCCTTTCAATTTCATTAAAGAGTTTGATGAGTAATGGCATTAGATCTTCTCTAAATTTCCTGTAGAACTCAGCAGTAAATCCATCACAATCCAGGATTTTCCATGTTGGTAAGTTTTTAATTACATTTTCAATTTCATTGACTGATATTGGTTTACTTAGAAGTTTTATATCTTCTTGATTCAACTTTGGTAACCCATATGTATCTAGGAATCTGTCCATTTTTATTTGTGTTTTTCATTTTATTAAAGTTTCTCAAAGGAGTATTGATGATCTTCTGGGTTTCCCAAGGATCCATTATGATTTCACCCTTTTCATCCCTAACTACATGAATTTGAGTCTTTCTTCCCTTTTTTTGATAAGGTTGGTTAAGGGTTTGTAAATTTTATTCAATCTTTCAAAGAACCAATTCTTCAATTCATTTATTTTTATATTATTTTCTTAGTCTCAATTGCATTAATATCTGCTCTGATCTTTATAATATCCTCCATCATACCAGCTTTGGGTTTGACTTACTCATCTTTCTCTAGAAATTTGAGATTCAACACTAAGTTATTTATTTGAGCTTAGTCTATTTTCTTGATGCGAGAGTTAACCGCTATTAATTTCCCTCTTAGAACTGCTTTCATTGCATCCCATAAATTCTGGTATGTTGTAGTGGCATTATCACTTAATTGTAAGTACTGTTTAATTTCTTCTTTAATTTCATCTGTGACCCATTAGTTGTTCAGAAGGGTGTTATTTAATTTGCATGTGTTTATGGAGTTTTTGTGGTTTCCTTTGCCATTGATTTACAGTTTCATTGCACTATGGTCAGATGATATGCATGGGATAATTTCAATTCTTTTGCATCTACTTAAGCATATTCTATGGGCTAGTATGTGGTCTATTTTGAACAACATCCAATGCACCACTAAGAAGAACGTGCATTCTGATGTTGTGGGGTGCAATCTTCTGTAGACATCCACTTAGTCCTTTTGTTCACAGGTTTGGTTCAGTTCTTATTTCTTTGTTGATTTCTTTTCTAGTTGATCTATGTACTTGTGACAGTGGGATATTAAGTTCCTCCATTACAATTATGTTAGTGCTTCATTGATTTTTCATGTCCATTAATATTTGTTTTATAGGTACTTGGGTGCAGCTGTATCTCGTACATGTATATTTATGATATCTCTTCTTGGAATTTTCCCTTAATAAGTACATAGTGACCTTCTTTATCTCTTTTGATCAGTCTTGGCTTGAAGTTCACATTGTCTGCAAATAGAATAACTACCCCTGCTTTTTTCTAGGTCCCTGTAGTATGGAGTATTGTTTACTATCCTTTGACTTTCAGTCTATGAAGTTAAATGTGTTTCTTCAATGTAACATGTTGTTGGATCTTGTTTATTGATCTATTTTGCTAGTTTATTTCTTATGATTGGTGAATTGAGACCATTTACTTTGAAGTTATAACTGATATGTATTGGCTTGTCCTTTTCATATTATTTTACTGCTGATGGTGCCTGTCTTTCCCTTCTGTTTAATTGCTTGCCCTGCTTGGTGGCTTCTTTCTATTGGTACTCTTGGAATTATGATCTTTATCACCTCTTTCTAGAATAACTTTCAGGATTATTTGTAGAGTTGATTTGGTTGTCATGAATTTCTTCAGTTATCCTTTGTCATGGAGTATTTCACTTCTTTATTAATTCTGAATGATAATTTTGTGGAATACATCAACCTGGGTTAGAAGCTGTTTTTTCTTTCAGGATTTGAAATACTTCAAGCTCTCTTTGACTTAAGGGTTTATATTGAGAAGTCTGCTGTGATTCTTCTGGGCTTTCTTTTATAGGTGTTTTGTTTCTTTTCTCTAGCACCTTTTAATTTCTGTTCTTATGCTGAATTTCTGGAATCTTGATTACTATATGCCTTTGTGTAGATTTATTTTGGTCATGACTAATTGGAGTTCTGTATGCCTCACTTACTGTATGTCAAATTCTTTCTCTATGCTTAAGAAGTTTTCTACTATTACTTCTGTAAATAGGGTTTTTATGTCATTTGTGCTCACTCCCACTTTTTCCTTGACTCCAGTCAATCTTATGTTGTTTTTCTTTGCACCATCTTGTAGTTCCTGGATTGCTGTTACATGGTCCCTATTTTTAAGAGATCTTGCTTTTCCTGATCACTTTTAAGCCTGTCTTCTAGGTCTGATATTCTATCTTCACTTTTTAAAATGCACTTTTGTGTAATCCCAGCACTCAAGAGGCTGAGGCAGGAAGATTGTCACAAGTTCAATATCAGCTTGGGCTACAAAGTGAGCTCCAGGCCAGCTTGAACTGCCTAGCAAGACCCTGTCTCAAAAAGACAAAAATAAATAAATAAATTCAGTTTTGTAAACTTTCAATAGAATTTTTAATTTTCTGAATACTGTCTGAATCTGTTTCATGGATTTCATTTGTTTCCTATGTTGGATACTCATGGCTCCCATCATTTCTGTCCTCCTCTTTTAAAAAAATTTATGTCTACTTTAGATTTGCTGAACAAGTTCTTCATTATGTGTATCCTTTCTTTTTAACCTGTGAAATTATTTGTGTTCTGATTTCCTCTATAGCCTCATGTATATATTTTTTAAAATTTCTGCTACTCTCATTCCAGAAAATTCAGGTGGTTGGCTTCTGATTTTCTCTATTTTGTTGTCTTCTGGATTTATCCTGGGTGGGCTGGAAGTCTTGGTTTGCATTTTGCTTCTGTGCTTGTTATCTTCTATTTTTCCAATTTTAATTTGTTTTCTGTGTTGTTTGCATTTTTCTCATGTTAGGTAGCTTCATCACTGGTATTGAGGATTCCCTAGGAAATGTTTATTACTCTGAGATGTCTTCTAGATGTAGTTGGCTGTTCATCTTTGTGTCTGCTGCAAGATCCTATCTTCCTACTGTATTAGGAATGAGGAGTTGCTATCTATTTGGCTTAGCACCCAGTACTTTGGTACTGGACTATGGGGATGATTATGACCCCCGATCATCACAGTATTGTTATATAAGGGTGAACAACTGATTACAAGTATGGATCCTGGCTAACGTTGTACAATTAGCAATTACAATATCATCAGTCACAGCCTAGAACCTGAAAATCTGTGATAACTATTAATTTGGCATTTCCAAGCCTAGGAGCAAGATCTATAGTTATATAACAACATGCAACATAAACCAGGAACTTGTATGCAGTGAGTTTTCCCTTGGTAGAGTGATTTTATCCTGTGAGGAAAGGGAATTTAAGAGTGGCAGAGACAAAGAAGAGCAATAAGTGAAGAGAAATATAGTGGAAGCAAGACTTAAGGACAAAGGATGATCACCCAAACTTTGGGAAGCTGGAGAAGAGGACAGGAGAGAAAGAATGAAGGAGAGAGCAAAAGAATATTGAAGCAAACCAGAAAGACTACAGACAATTTTCATTCACATGTAAGTATCAGAAAATCAAGAAATACTATTGAGGAAAGAGAGAGATAGGACAGAGAAAATAAACCAAACAATAAAAGTTAAAACCCAAACAACTCCCCCAAAAAAGGAAAGCAAAAAAGAAATTCCTCTAGTGCTCCCCCCATTCTGTGTTAGTTCTCTAGTCAGAGCCAGAATCTATACTGAGTAACCCCACAAAGTCTTCAGTAGGATTACTTCTGGTTGTGAGGTTGATCTTGGCCAGACCACTGACTCCTCCCACATATGTTCATCACAGAGTGGGGGAGTGCCCTTGTCTGCCAGTGGCTATGGACATTTACCTATTTATGTTTCTGGTTGCAGAGCAGGGGGCTGCTTCTAGTCCTTTGTAGCTAGGGCTAAAAGTGGCTTTTGACAGCTGCTGGAACAGAATCTGGGTGGTCCTGACACCTATGTGTCAGAAGAGTTCCTCCCAGTCTGCTGTCCAACTGCCAGCTGTCTACTGTGACTGAATGGGCCTTCCTTCTTTCTACTCTGGGATATTGGCAGTGAAGCAGTCCTGGAGCTTTTCTGCTTCTGGAGTTCAAGTCCTGAGCCCTTTGAAATAAAATGGCAATCCTGCCCACCCATTGCTATTCTTGTGGGCGATTCCATGTCTGGCACTGCTCTAATTCACTCACCTACTGCTGACAAAAGGGTGGGCTGCTTGGGAAACAGTGTCTTGTGTTTTCACTGCTGACTCCAACTGTACAACATTCTCCTGGTCCAGGTCAAGTCTCAGTCTCCCAGCAGGGAGCAAAGTTTCTTTTTCTGTCTCCCTGTCTCCCAGGTCAGCTACACAGCTGCTCTAGTTGCACCACATGGTCTCAGGTCTGCTGTGGTGAGCTATTTCTTCTGTAGCAATGAATCCTATTTTCTCTACTGTCAGTCCCCTCATGGTTCTTGTGTGCCCCGCACTCCCGTTGGATTCTCCTCAGGCTGTTGTTTTCCACTCTCAGCACTTTGTTCTGGAGAACCTGAGCCACTGATGCTCAGCACACCTCCATTTTCCTCTGACCTCCACTCTTCCCCTTTGGTCCCACAAACCTTGCCTATTTGGTGACTCCAAAATGACTTACTGATTCTCACCTCCAAATTTTGTTCATGCTGCTATTCCTGCTTCTCCTGGTCAGGTGCTAGAATAAAAAGAAAGCATGAATTAAGTTAATTCTAACTCCCCAGTTAGACACTTACTAGCTATGTGATATGCCCAATAGCCACATGTTCTTGGATAGGTGTTTCAATCTTCCTTAACATTGATTTTCTTACCTGTAAATTGAGAGCATTAGTACTTATCTCTATTTTGATATTTTAGTGCTCCATTTTGAATATTAAATGAGATGTTCATGTACCTGATACATCATGCATGTTAAATATTTTCTTATCGTTTTGTTTGTTTGTTTGTCTTTATTTATTTATTTTTTTTTTGTATCGGGAATTGAACTCAGGACCTCGTGCTTGCCAGGCAGGTGCTTCTGCCACTGAGCTATATCCTCAGCCCTGTTTGTCTTTTTGAGACAGTGTCTCACTATACAGTTCAGACTGATCCTGAACTCACTTTGTAGCCCAGGCTGGCCTCAAACTTACAGTGATCCTCCTGCCTCAGCCTCCCAAGTGCTGGGATTACAGGTGAGTGCCACCACACCTTGCTGTTGGTTTGTTTTTTGACACAGGATCTCACTATGTAGTCCAGGCTGTCCTCAAACTTGTGGCAATCCTGCCTCAGCCTCTCAAGTGCTTGAATTACAGGAGTGTGCCACCATGCCCAGTATATTTCTCTATGATGTTTAACCCCTCACTTCTATTTTGAAATCTTCTAAAGCTCATCTTTCCTTCAGAGTCCATTTCTAGTCCCACATCTTGCAACCATATTAAACAGCCCTTCACCACTCAATTGGCCTTTGATACCATACTGCCTTATGTAGCTATTTAACTCTTTATTAGCATATGTTTTCTTCTCAGTGGTCTTATAAATTCCACAAGTGGAACATTGTTTTTGTACATATTATACATCAACCACATTGAAGATTTTCAGTACTATATTTTAGAATTGAAGATTGGCGATTTTAGTATTATATTTCTTCAACCCAAACAGAATTCAGTGGCAAGTTCAGCTACATAGCTGTGCAATGTGTTCAGTCACATATCTCCTGTGTTCAGAAGGGTCCCAAGCTTGGTTTAATGTTTGAATATTGTCTTGGAATTCTTACTTATTTATGAATAAAAGCCTCATATTTGATTTTATTCTGGGCCTGCAATTATGTAACCACTTCTTCCTGGCAGTCTTCCTGAGTTGAGGAGGCTGATCAGAGTGTAGGGTAGCTGGAATTGATAGAATGGTATGCCATAAATGAGAAAGCTAGTGGGAGAGCTCCTTTTAAATCTTCAACCAAGTGCTTATATGTGCATATATGTAAAGGCTCCAGCCGTGGCTAAGAAAAAGCCCCTGAAAGGGAAAAGGCAGAATAATTACCAGAACCACTATATTAATATCAAAGTTGACTTCAAAGCAAAGCCCATTAGTAGAGATAAAGGAGATCTTTTCATAATGATAAAAGAGTCAATTCATCCAGAGAACATAACAAACCTAAATGTTTATAGTCCTAATAAACGATCCTCAAAATACATGAAATAAAAACTTACAGAATGGAGAAGAAAAATGCACAATTATGGTCAGAAATTTCAAAATAACCTCCCTCAATAAAACTAGTAGACATAAAATCAGTAAGAATACAGAATGGAGCAACATTGTCAATAATTCAACCGAATAACGTTTATAAAGCATTCTACCCAAAAACAGCAGAATATACATTATTTTCAGGTGCACAAAAACATGTAGCAAGATTCAGGGCCTATTTTATAATGGAGGCTTTATTGTTATTCAGCTCTGGTAAGGTTAACAAATCATGAGGCGATTACTATTGAAAAGACAATTTGTTAGAGATTTCAAGAGGTGGGGGCCTGACATGCCACAAGGAGTAACACAGGGAAGTACCAGGGTTGGTCAGGAGGCAGAGGGAGAGCGAAATATAAGAAAGAGCCTAATGAAGAAGTTTCTTCATTAGGGAAGAAAGGCAGGGCAAACAGGCTTAGGACTAGCTAGTTTGAAATATATTAGCGGGTTTTCAAGCACGTTATGGCTTGTATTTAGATGTCCCCTCACAAGACTTAAATTTTGAGCTAATTGAACTAATATACTAGCAGTATATTAAAAAGATTATATAGCACGAGTAAGTGGGAATTATCTCAAGAAGGCAATGTTGGTTTAACATTTGAAAACAAGCAACTGCAATTTATCATATAAAGATTAATAAGAGCCTCTCAATAGATGCTAAAAAAGATTTAAAAATTGGACAAAATTCTGTAAGCATTAATAATAAAACTCTCAGCAAACTAGGGCTGGAACACAATACACTAAGCTTGATAAAGGACATCTATAAAACCCTGTCCCCAGGTAGTACAGATCTTTGCTTCAGTTTTAGTGGAAATTAAAACCAAAGCAATCAGCATGAATTTATAAGCAAAAGCTTTAAATGGAAAGTAAGAGAAAATGGTAAGGGACTTCAGCTTGAGGAGCTAGACAGGCTGGGTAAATTGTGGGCTAACAAACCTTATGTCATAGACACTCTTTAAGTGATTAACATGCCTACACGCACAGCTGAACAGGGATCTAACTCAAATTTTGGACCTTGAGAGCTTGTTGGAGGTTCTAACAACGGGGCACAGCTACTCATATATCCTTGACAGAGGAGGCGGTATTCCTCTATCGGGGGTTGTGGTCTTCCACTGAGCACAGAATTTTGGGAGGGACAGAGAGTGATGAGGGAAGAAGGGGACACCTACCTAGCCAACTAGATCAGCTAAATGAACCCTGGCTATCAATGGGGTGACGTATCTCAGCCAGATCGCCCTTACACCCCAAATTTTCAAAGTAATAAAGGAAAAAAAACTGAAGGCAAATGCCAAGCTTCAATCTGCTACTAGTTTTCCACTGGGCAACTGCAAGTCCAGCCTCTAGATCCCTGTTATGTTATAATCTTTGATTTTATGTTTAAACACTGAATGCATTCATAGAAAGACCATAAACAAAGTAAGAATGTCCCCATTCCTATTCAGTATTGTACTGGATGTCCTAACCAGTACATTAAAGCAACTAAAAGAAATGAAGGGTCTGTATATTAGAAAGGAAAAATTAGTATTGTGTTTATTAACAAATGACATAATCACGTAAGAAATTCTAAAGAATATGCAAAAAATTCAAATAAACTAGAAAATGCTAATTAAGTCAACCAATCTTATTTCTATATATTAGCAACAACCCATTAAAATTGACATTTAAAAGATGCCTTTTGCAGTAACATAAAATATATGAAATACTTAGGGATAATTTTGACCAAAAGAAATGTTCCAGCCTGGTATAGTGAACATTACAAACATTTCTGAGAGGAATAAAAGACTTGAGTAAGTGAGGAAATATACTGTGTTCATGGATCAAAAGATTCAAATATTGTTATGTCAGTTCTTCCCAAATTCATTTAGAAATTAAGGATAATTTTAATCATAACCTCAGTAAACTTCTTTGAAGAAATTGACAAGGCGAGTCTAAAATTCATGTGGAAATTCAAATGACAAAATACCTGAAATGAATTGAGAAAAGAATGAAGCTGGAAGATTTACATCATCTAATTTCAAGATTTATAAAGTCAACAAGGCCTATGGCAGTAGTGTATAGATACACTTTTAGATGAATGGAACAGAACAGAGAATCCAGAAATAGAGACACATATGCACCATAAATTGATCTTCAAAAGAAGTACCCAGATAAGTAAATTGGAAAAGGATAATCTTTCCAACAAATCATACTCAAATAGCTGCATGCAACAACAACAACAACAAAGCTCTCTCAAATTTAACCTCATACCATACACAAAATTTAAGTAAAAAAGTAAGAGCTAAAATTATAAAGCTTCTGGAAGAAAATAAAGAATAATCTCAGGCAAACATTTTTTTTTTTGCAGTGGTACTGGGGATTGGACTCAGGGTCCTTAGAGTGGACTACACCTCCAGCTCTTTTTTCTTTTTATTTTTGAGGCAGAGTCATGCTAAATTGCTAAGTTGCCCAGGCTGGACTGGAACTTGCAATCCTCCTGCCTCAGCCTCCACAAGTGCTGAGATGACAGGCATATATCACCATGCCTGGCTGGAAAAGATATCTTATAGGACATTAAAAGCACAATATATAATATATAATATTAAGTGGACTTATAAAGTAGACTTAATCAAAATGAAAAATTGCTCTTTAATACAGGTACAAATACAAAAAACCAAACCATGGACTTGGAGAAAATATTTACAAAAATTACATCCAAAAAAGAGTTTCTATGTACAACATGTGAAGAATTGTCATAATTCAATAAGAAGACAAGTAACCAATTTAAAAACTGACAAAGGATTTGAACAGATATTTCATCACAAAAGATATCAAACAAGCAGGTAAAATACACTCAACATCACTGGTCATTATAGAAATGCAAATTAAAACACAATGAAGTACAATATTAGTTTGTTAGGGCTTCCCGAAGAAAGTACTACAGATTAGATGATTTAAACAACAGTTTATTGTACATCTCTGGATATCAACATATCTGCAAGGTTGATTCCTTCTGAGGGCCATATGGGAAGGTTCTATTCCAGGTCTGTGTCCTTGACTTATAGATGTCTATCTTCCCTTTGTAAGTCTGTATCCAAAGTTCTTCTTGTTCTAAAGACACCTGTCATATTGGATTAAGCCCCGTCCAGTAACTTCAATCTAATTTAATCACCCCTGTAAAGATTGTATCTGCATATATGGCCACAGTCTGAAGTACTGAGGCTTAGAACGTCAGCATCAGTTTTTCAGAGGGACAAAATTCAACCCATAATATCAACGCACACATCTTAGAATAGCTAAATTTTAAGAGAAGTGTTGATAAGGATGTGAAAGACGAGGAACTCTGAGAATGATACCTTAACTTTGGAATCAGTTTGGTGGATTCTTGTAAAGTTAAACTTATATCAAGAAAATCACACAAAAATTCTCCTAGGTTTTGCCACATATAAGTGAAAGCATATGCATACACAAAGCCTAGGACACCAGTG